GATGGCGTCGCCACCCAAACAGGCTGGATGTGACCTTTACATCACACACTGATCACACTGTTAAGGTCAGGGTTTGGATGGGCTTAGCTCTGTTTTAGCCAGATTATCGTGTCTGGAATGTCTTTATGGGTCAGATTCATTTTGTGGGAAACATTCAGAGCATCGGTGGAAAAGATGGTTAAAAATCACAAAAATGCAAATATTTAGAATATGCTTCTGAGGATTAGTATCCAAGATTTTGATTTTATTTCTAAACCTTCTGCAAAAGCAAAAAGATAATTTTAACCACATCGTCTTAAAGGGGCAGTATTATGTTTTTTGAGATTTCCACCATTCTATAAAGTCAAAAACATGCCTGGACTGTTGCTTTGATTCTTTCATCAAAGAATCAAAGAATCAAAGGGGCTAGCCCCGCCTTCAAGGTGCAGCTCCTCCTCAGTTTCCAAGCTCCTTCAGACTAGCCAGCAGCAATTAGCACCTGGTGGAACTGCTGAGCTCATTATAGGAGCTACTTCTCAGTGACACACTGCTAGAAACATTATTAAAAGGTGTTAAAGGGTTAATAGAGGAGCCATGATGACTTCATGAAGGCGGAGTTTCAGAAAGAGCAGTTTTAAAGAAACAGAGGCCCAATTTCAAGGAGTTAAATTACAAAGTCAAACATCAAATTTCAGTCATATTTGACATATTTTAACAACTGAAGGTAACATAGTTTCTTGATTATGCAACAAAATGTCACTTTGTGCCTGGAAAACACATGATGCTGCCTCTTTCACAGCAAGAGGGAAGAGTTGGTGTTTATACAACCTTCAGAGAGAACAATTTATCAAACCGTTACGTTGTTGGACTGTGGAAGAAAACCTGGAGAAACTCCATGCAGACAGACCCCAGGCTGTGATTCAAACCCAGAACCTTCTCACTGCAACAGCACTAACAACGCATCAAATGGAAAATAATGTGGATGAAATTGGTAGTAAAACAACCATCATTTCAATTAATCACTGGGAAACTAGTCGATAAAATGGAGTGAGGTTAAATCCGCTTTACATTTATAGACACATGAACAAAAGTCAAAGGGAAGACGACGTCTCACAGAGAAACAGATGGAGGGAAAAAGCAGAGAGGAAGACTGTTGGCTGATGACGTGAAAAAGCCAAAGACAGACGATGCGGCAGGTGTAGTGAAAGGTCAACGCTCCTGTGATAAGGCGTGCTTGGACAGCATGCTCACAGCCAGCAGTCGACTGCTTGTCGACACAATACCAGTCCACTTCACTGGCCGCAGCTCAGGGGTAAACAGACGGAGTCGTCACGGCGTAAAGACTCTGTTCAAAGCCCTGAGAAAATACCAGCATGAAAAACAGGCCGGGAGCAAAAACGAGCAGTAAAATATAGCAAAATAAACAACTGGTTATTTATCTGCTGCTGCCGTTTGGACATGTGATAAATTATGCAAGATGCCTCAGCAGTGGAGCAACAGCTTAGACCAAATCCAAAACAAAGTCAGATGATCAGACAACGCAGGATTACTGATGAACAATTCAGAGGCAGGACTGGAAAGATCACTTTTTATTTCCCAGTTCAGTTTGTTACCAAAGGCAGATTTAACATGTGGGGATAAATCTGTTACCACCCACTAAAGGTGGAGATTTACCTTTTACTGCAGGCTCAGAATCTCACATTGAAAACCAATCTTTACTTTAGTCACATTATAAACAGAGGATTGATAAAGTCAATTAGAAGTTCCTAAAAACCCAGTGGAAGTAAGTAAATAAACTTTATTTAAATCTTTCACAAGTCAAAAACCACAAAGTGCTTCACAATAAAAACAGATAAACACAAAATGATCACTTCATCTCCTTTTCTACTGGACGGAAATCGATTATTTAAAACATAGCTAGTGATTTGTGCACACTTTGCTTCATTTAATAAAACATTAATCTAATTTCTGATGGTCTTATCTTCTGTCCTGTTTCTCTGTTTCGTGAACCTTGTAAACGTTGATCTGCTCTACTTTAAAAGACCTAAACTGATGTTTCCATTTGAGAATCATTTTGATAAAATCAAAATTCACCAAAATGTTTTCCGGTGAGTTTCTAAGAAGTAGAGATTCTGTATTTCACACATTATTTTAATCTAGTTTGTTGGAGCTGCTGATTTCAGCGTCTCCACTTGTGACATTTTCATAAAAGCAAAATGATGTATTAGCAGCTCACTGTTCGCTGAGCAGCCATTAGTCTGACTGAAATTGTGGAATAAACTTCGGTGGCTTACATATAAAAACTTGGTCATTTCTGCCAACTTTTGCTTGTATATTTCTTATGTTTCTCTCTCTGTGTGTGTGTGTGTGTGTGTGTGTGTGTGTGTAATTACATGTGAGAAAATACATGAGTCACCACATTTCCTCTGTGCTGTTGTGTGAAGTTGCTCATTTGTCTCAGTCAGTGCAGCATGTGTTTATTTGCCCCGGTGTTTGTGTGTGTGCATGTGTCGCCTATGGCTTCTATCTATGGAAGCAGAGATGAATGGAGCCCTGCGAAGCAACGTTGATTACACAGGCTTTCCTTCCTCCTTTGTCTTTCTGCTGCACACAAAGCAGGAGGAAGCAGAAAGTGCAATGGCAGGCCAAGATGAGAAACAAGGGAAGAAAGAAACTCCTGAAGGAGATGACGGGAAAAGGACATGCAAAAAGTAATAAACGTATCTGCAGTTAAAATGCTAATAAAACAGCAATAAGGATTTCAACAAAGACAGAACCTTTGGAACCGTCGGGTAACAGATGTGCAAGAAAAAGGCTTGTTGGGAGACTTAAAGAACCGCTTTTACATTTTTAACAAAAAGACATTTTGGACATTTTTTCTAGTCAGTCCACAGTTTCTAAATGATCCTAGAAAATAAACCTCAGGACGGCCTGATGGAGAGCAACTTACTGATTTAATATTTTGCATGTCTACTGTTGCTTTATTATTGTTTCTTTCCTAAACCTATGAGCTCGTTTTGATGTCTTTTCATAGAGTAGAGGGTTAGGATTAGGAGTTTTTATCCTGTGACTGCAGAGCTTTTGATCAGCTGTAATTTGAGTCCTGTTTTAGATTGGATTTATTTAAACAAATGTCAATCTTTTATTTTCCCCACTTAAAAATCCTCTAATTGAATTATATTTCATATTAGGAAAGTAATTATTCCACATGTTCCCAACAGGGCACTTCTCTTTCAGACTGCAGGTTTACTGGTGGTTAACAGTTTCTGAAAGCAGAATGGGAGGCAGATATTTTCATCTTTCATGAATACATTCATGAATTATTTGCAGCTATTGTTGCCATTGTATTACTGGTCCAGTAACTTTGTTCACTCTGGATATTTCATTTGAACAGAAGTGGTTCTTCTGGTTGAGATCGAAGGTTTTGACAGAAAGTTCAACTGTATTCACCCCAGATCTGTTCAGCCTGCTGTAATCAAACTCCAGTTCCTTAGTTGAGAAAGTCTGGTTCGTTTGGTGTGAATGCTAATCGAACTCTAGCTGGATTAAAATTAACTCTGGTTTGGTTCGAATGTATGTGCGAACTCCAAATGGACCGGGCGCCAGGGCAAAACCAAGAAGTGGACTACAGCGCAGGGCATTCTGGGTAAATAGAGTTAAAATAAATGCGTTTGCTTAGCGTTAGTGGGAGAAATGTCTCCTGGTCTTTAGCCAAAGACAAGAGAGATATCCTCCAGCCACTAAAATCTGACACTTCCATTTTAGTTTCTATTTGGTGAAGAAGGAAATTGCTCTCAGTGTCTTCAGAGGTTTTCGTGTCGTTTCCTTCAGTGGTTCTTGGTGCAGCGCCCCCACAGGCCAGGAGGGGAACAGGCTGGTTTGACTCAGAACCAGAGCAGCTGGAGATGGAGCAGATGTTGCAGTTTTGGTCCCAATGGAACCGAGTCTACCAGATTATCTGATGTAAAAACTCCTTAGCGGACTTTTTGCTTCATGCCCCAGTGCTTCTGTCTTTTTGCCCAGGCTGTCTTTTGTCCTCTCTGCACCTCACAGCTGATTGATGGTTTCTTCCTGTCCCTTTCCACCGTCTCTGCATCCTGAGTCAGGAGGTTGTGTTGCTGCTTCTGTGCTCGTTGTATCTGTGTTGTAATGCATGTTTTAAATGTCTGCTGAAAAAAATGTTTGATCAGTTAAAGGAGGCAGCAGAGAGACACTATAAACTTGCACTGCCCTTCACCGCCTTGATTTCCTCCTAGCCACACCTATGTTCCCTCATCCACGTTTTGATTGGTCCAGCTGCCAGCAGCAGTCTGCTAACTCGCCCTCCTCCATCCCTCTCTCCTCCATCCTCCCTCCTCTCTGTCTCTGCCGCTCACCAGTGAATGAGTCCGCTCAGAGTCTCGCCGTTCCGTAGCGCAGCCTCTTCCTCTCTTTCTCTTCCACCGTTCTCTCTGTCCTTCGCTGCCTTTGGAGCAGACAGAGGAGCATCGGCACGGCAGCTGAGCCACGCAGAAGCAACGGAGAAGCCTGGAAACAAATGAGCTTCTGAATATTTCCAACATCAACAGATGCATCCAACGTGAAACAGTTCCAAAGGCAGACCGGAGCAACAGATTGCTCTTTAGGTGCAACTGTTGCTGAAACTGATGGTGGCCCACCTGATCTGAGACGAAGCTGGCATCTGCGGATTTGGGAAGTCAATTTCTCTGAATGAAAGAAAAGCACTGACTCTGCCAAAGCAGGAGGAACCAACACTGCCAGGCGCCGAGAAGAGAGGTCTTTGATTCATTTGGGAAAGCAAGACTGTTCATGCAGGGCGTGAACGTCACCTTTACATCCCGTCGTTCATCCTTTTGCAGAAACCAAAGATCAAAAGCCATTTGGATGTGCTAAATAGATGGAGGATGTTAGTTCAGAGGTAAGCTGTGAATCGAGAAGAGCAACATCAAGTCTAATCGGTGCAAAGATGCAGGTAAGAGCCACCAAGTGATGCCAGTAAATCCAGCAGAAAAATGACTTCTGAAGACCGCAGAGGGTAAAAGAGCAGGATGTATGCAAGAACCTTCTGAAGAACAAAACCAGGGAGACTCGCAATGACTGGCAGATGTTCTTCTCCAACAAAAACTACATGAACACGAAGAAAGAAAGCATTCATATCTCGCTACACTACTTTCTTTTTTCTAGGATGTTTTGCACATGTGGAGCTTTCTTCTTTAAAAGTATTCAAGCTTTTCCTCCTCTGTAACTTTTGCTGCAGTTAAATCTGCACCGATTTAAGTCGGTGTTGGCGTTGTCGTTCCGACTCTTCTTTTCGGAGTGAAGCGGATCTGCCGTGGGGGCAGCTGACAGCCGTCCAAGACGCCGCGAGCCGTACTCCGCGTGAAGAATGCCCAGCCGCGCTTGGCCAAGCCGGCCGACCCGGGCCCGACGGCGGCCTATACATGGAGAGATCGCAGAGCCGCATCAGCCTCTCGGCGTCCTTTGAGGCCCTCGCCATCTACTTCCCCTGTATGAACTCCTTTGACGAGGACGATGGCGGTGAGTGGGCATGAACACACACAGCAGGCCTGTTGCTATAAGCAATTCTTCAATTAATCAATTCATAAGTTAAAATGAACTCAATAATTTCCATTTGCACAAGTTATTGTTACTCTTTTTCTACCAAAAGCGGGATGATAAAAATCTTCAATCTGGTGTTTTGGTCGCTATTTTTGAAGGACAATTTTTTCCTTCAAAAAATTTATTTTATTTGCTGTTTTTGTTTATTTTCTATTTGGTCTTTGAGTATGAGTATCATTGTGCCTTTATCATTGCATAAATTACTTGAAAATGGTCTCAAAACACCAATATTATTGTTTATCGCGATAACTTCTGGGACGATTTATCCAAGAAGCGATCACATTTGTTGTAATATTTCTCAATCCATTCAAACATCTGAACTGTTCAAACAGTTCAGATGTTTTTTAAATGACATTTTAACTCCAATATTGGATCAGCATTTTAAAGGAGTTTGGTTTACAGTAAATGCAGGTTTAGAAGTGGAATAAAATCTTCAGCTAATGAAAGGATTAAACCTGAATCTCTCATTTATCCACAGTGAAACGTAAAATCCAGTTTTCGTGCCTCCAGCTGCAGGTCAAGATGATGAACCGTTTAGATTTCACAGTGTCAAACAAACAGAAACAAACTAGTTGTTTCCTAAACCGAACAATCCGTTTCCATGACTTGGGTCTTAGTTGAACATTTATCACCACTTTCTGAAAACAGACATTCATTTTTACAATCAGGTGATTCTACTTTCGTGATTCGAGACATTTTGGATAAGTTTGGAGGAAGAGGAGGAGCCTGTTGGTGTATGAGTTTATGATGATGTAATGCTTTTGATCTGGATTGGTATTATTGCTGAATTTTATTACTCCTGGTTTGCCGTCACACTAATCCAGTCTGGAAAACGGCTGCAGTGGATAATCTTTTCGACGCAGTCTGATGTGGTTCCAGTGGCGTTTAGAGTAATATTTGAATTGTATTCTGCAAGTTATTCAACACTGGAACATAATGAAATGAAATGTTGAAATATCAGCAGCATACCAATAAGAGGTCATAATAATAACATCAAATGGTGCAGAAAAGCACAGAAAGATTCTCATCCTTTGAATTTAGAAAGTGGAAGGAAAATGACTCATGGTTTCATTTTTTCCATGAATGAATAACTGAAGAGTGCGGTGTGCTTTTTCACTCTGATTCCCTGAGTCAAAACTTTGAATCTGTTTGCATGTGACTATGAGGTGAAAACTTTTCTTTTTTACAAATTATCTTCAGATCATTTGCACAGGCTTCATAGTTTTGCATTATGGTAAAAAGGAGGTACACATTCTGGAAACCTTGAGAATTAAAGGGATAAATATAACCGTACCCTGCAGCGTCTCTCATGCCTGTGTAAGCGCTGCTTTTTGCTTCAGCAGCATTTCTCCATCCAGCGCTGCAGCTGAGCAGCTGATGGGTTGCGTGTGCAGAATGTCATGATATTTTTTATGGCTGCCATGTTAATCTTTCTCCCAGTGCTGCAACCGTCTAATGTTTCTGAGCATTTCTACTTTAAAGTGGCTTTCAGCACAAACACACATTTAGAACATTTCTGGTGTTAACATCTTAGTAACTGTTTTGATGACGTTTTCTTCTTTCCTGTAGCCTTTAGAGGTCACCAGCAGACCAACCATCCCAGACACACAGCTCCACCAACCCTCTGCTTATCATACTTCACCACATCCACAAACCTGCCTGGTCTCTTTTGCTCCTCCTCGGCAGCCATGCATCCACTTATCTAACGTGTCTCTTTGCACATCTGAGCTAAGACTAGTTGTCTCTAAAAAGCTCCATTAGATTCTTTGATTAAGTTATTTCTAGTCATGTCCGTTGTGGTCACTCCCAACATCAGAACATCTATTTTCTCTGCCGCCAAACCAGATTATAGTAAATCTCACTGCTGTCATGTAAAACTTTTCTTTCATTCCTTTCATCTCCTTCACATAATGATTCTTTTCTCCTTTTCATCGACTTTCCTCCTTCATGTTTCCAGAGTTCACTGTGTTTTCTGAGCTCCCTGCTGGTTCTTAGTTCGATACTTGAGATCATTGCAACCACAGATCATAAGCAGGTAGAAATGGATTAATATCGATCAGAGAGGAACATTTAAGCTGCAGATATTACCTGGCAGCATTGGTTTGTTTAGGTGACAAACTCAGTGATCCTCAGTCCATTAGAAAACGGGTCTGGTTCTGATTCTGCAGGACTTCAGTGCAGGACTAGCCAGAGGGGAAATCGTTCCTCATCCCGCTTCGTTTGGCGGAGATGGACTTATGAAAAATGTCAGCATACTGAGCACCTAAAGATGACAGGAAATAACTTGTAACATATAAGATATGAAGATCAATTCAGGCTTTTTGTCTGTATGAACACTAAATCTATAGAAGATATTTTAATTTCTTTGAGGCCATTTGCTGCTCTCTTGATTTTGATCATATTAATAATTTGCAGAATCTGGTAATTTCTCAATGTGCTTAGAAATCAGAACAATTAAATCATAATGTACTTTTGAGATTAAGCTAACAGTAATCTGTGCGTAATCAACATGAATAGTAATTTACTGGCTGATGCTAGAAAAGAAAGACGGTGTTTATAAAAATAAGTTCACATTTCTTCCCTCTCAGAACATATTAATCTTTTGCTTCTTTGTTTCCAATTTACTTTGTTTGTACATAACTTTGTTTTTTCTTTAATTACACATCTCTTAATAAAGTCAAACCAAACTGAATTAATGTTTTTACATGTTTTTTTCTTACAGATATGAGTCATTTTTATGTCTAATATAAATATTTACTGTAAATTGCACTACTTCCAGCAATTCATTGACTATGTATGTTGTGCATGTTGATTTTTTTAATCCTTTCCATCAGATAAAAATCAGCCTCCTTGGGGAAATCTGGCATAATTCCGTGTTTATTAATAATTGATTAATTTACACTGTCTACTTCATGAAATAAATAAAATTCATAGCAACTTTTTACAACCTTTAAAAGGTTTTATACCTTCATACCGGTAACGTACTGAAGCCCAGGAAATGTTCACAAGTGTATTTTAAACTAACACAGCAGAGACACACAGATGGTGGAAGACGACAAATTGATCAGGTCATTGCCAAATAAGGTTGATTTTCATTGAGTGAAATAAAAAGAATACTGAGCGTCTTGTTTGTGGAGTTTTGCTTCTTGCAGGTTTTATTGTCATGTCTGGACCCAAATTGTGAAAACGGGACTTTATGTGCTCAATACACAGATGATGCTCAGCAGCGACACACAGATTTGAGAGAAGTAATCAGAGCGAAGCGGCAGGCTGTGGTTTGTGGCTCTCAGACTAATTAAATGCTAATATGGTTGCTGATTGTGGCTGACTGCAGCTAAATAGAGGCCTGATTGCAGGTTAATTCTCGCTCTCCGCCTCTCTGTCTCAGCGTCTCTCTGTCAGACTTTCATTCTCTCAGAGTCATTTGCCCTCCATGGTTTGAAAAGCCGGTTTGCAGGTTAATTCTGTCCTTCCTTCACAAATTGCCTTTTAATTGCTTTACCACTTGTTTTCCCTCCACTCCCACTGCTCTCCCTGGTCCCGTTCATGCCTGCGTTTGCACCCGTCTGCTGCAGTATTCATAAAGTTGAGAGTTGGTTTTAACCAACATAAAATGAGATCAAGCACCTCTGAAAGGAGCGCGGCCAGGTAGTGGCTACTTCTTAGCAAGATGTACGAGGATGAAACTTTGACTATAAATAAATGATCAACTGCTGGTTTGTGCACTGCTACTTTGAAACCCACATTTATTCACACTGGCAACGTGACTGTGAGATTTCTAAGTGATCCACTGTGTTAGGATAATGCTGTTGTTTTTGAGACCATTTTTGAGTAATTATTGATCTCAAAGATCAATAATTATTGATCTTTGAGATTATTTTCTGGCATTATTAATGCCAGAAAATAATCTCAAAGATCAATAATTATTTTGAACATTTTAAATGTCCAAAATAAATAAACAAATGTAAACAACAAATAAAATTAACAGTTATTTACTTGTGCTAAAAAATGGGATTATGAGCCTGGAAAACACTTAATAGCGCCTCTTTAAGCTCAGCAGCACATTGAGAGGTGGAGGAAGGAGTTTGGAATCAAACTCACAACCATCTGACTGTAAGACCATTTATAGGTCATGATCCTTAAATCACTTTTTCTTTAGCTGCTCAGCTCTCACTCTCAGTGGCTTCACCCTGCACACAGCAGAACCTTTAATACAGACCATAATAAAATAGAATCGGCTCTTAAAAGTTTAAAAAGTACAGAAATCGCAGTACTAAGCAGGCAACTATTTTTAGTTCAACTTTCCCTTATTGATCAAAAATAACTTGTAGAAACAAGATGACTTCAAGACGTGATATAAGAATAAATGAGAATAAACATATAATCTTAATTTAGTCTGTAATCTCACTGATGAGCGCTCTCACACGCTGCCTGCTGTATGTGCTATCTAGCACCTCAGGTGTTTGATTTCTACGTGACAGACTGACTGTGGAGATGAATCACCTGCCTGAAGTCGTAAATGTAAGACATGACAAATTGAATGTTCACTCATCGATTCCCCGTTTCATCGCCCTGATCAGCATTCAGCACCTGTTCATCTGGGAAAAAGGCTCCCAGGAATCTCATTCGTTTCTAAAAATCGGAGCTATATTTGGCCTCTTTCGCGTGTTTTGCTTCTCATTGTCAGTTTTCACACTTTTTGTTGAACGTACACTTGTTGCAGTCGGCTGTGTTTCTGTGCATAAAAATGGAGCGAAAAAGGAGTCAGAAGTGTTTGAGTTCGGCACAGTGAAGCAGGCGCGTCTTTTATTCTGTTTCCTCCTTCAGGAGAGGAAAATCCAAGCTCTGGTTTTCTGATGGGTTTCTTCCTGTTTGGCTGTTAAATTATGACCTGAGGTAGCAAATCAAACTGGTTTTAT